CGTTGGCCCACAGCTCTACACGAACATCCAGCATGTGCATGATCTGTTGGTACTGATTAACAAACTATGTGTAAAATACCGTCCGCCTGTCTTAACTGTGTACAAAAGACTACACTGTGTGACCATTTCTGCACCTGCAGGAACAGTTTCTATGGACTATTTGCAAGTGTTTTAGTTAGGAGCAACCCGGTCAGTTCTGCTGCAGGAACTACCTGGAGAGTTTCCATGACATCACCAGGTTCCTAATCGACATGTAGAAAAGTACAAATCAGCATAAGCACAGCAGGAACTGCCTGAGGCATCTCCAGGATAGCCCGAGATTCCCTGGAGACTTCCTGCATCAGTTAGCCAAATGCTGTTGTGAAGGCCACCAGTTCTGTCAATCCTACTAGGTTTGTTGTTTCAAATCAGTCTGTTGTCTCACCTATGCAGATGACTGACTCAGGGCCAGGCTGCACCAACTAGGAAATTGATGGCTCAGGTGCACTGCGTGTGCACGCAGGCACAGCCATAATACCCAGCTATGCTGCTCTTACAGCTTGAATGTCATCCTTCAGACACACCCATAACAAATTCCATTGCTCTTTCCACAAGTTAAAGACAAATTTTAGTTCCCCTCTCTAAGAAGTTTTTGGACCGAGATGTCCTTAATTCCTGAATGTCTTAAGATGGGTTTTATGAATTGCTTTATTAGAGACAAAAGTTCTAGTGAAACATTATTTCCACATCTATCCCATTTCTCAGCTTGATAGTCACCACAAAAACGTCACTGCCTGCCATCTCAGTCAATAATGGAACAAAGTTCTTTCTTACTCAAATCCTGAAATCAGGGAAAGATGGTTTTTGCATGAACATCACCTCTCAAAAACAGTTGACTAAATCATCATCACCAAAATGAAAAGTCCACAGAATGGTGCTATGTATGGGACAGCAACCTTACAAGCCTTGCAATTCAGAAGTGGTAAGCCAGTCAGAAACCTTGCCTGAAAGACTTTGCAGCTGAATCATTTTTTGATGTTGTCTTGACTGACTAGGAAGTGTACTCAGAAAAAGGCTCTGAGTTTCTTACAAACAAAATGTTGTTGTCTCCAAGATCTTGCTTTTCTTTATATGCACCATCAAAATGTGTTTATTTTAATTTGAGCATGTCACCTGCGTGACATGTTTGGGTGATGGGTTTTTTTGGTTGGGTTTCTTTTTTTGTTGTTGGGGGGGTGTGTGTGTGTGTTTGGTTTTTGGTGGGTTTTTTTTGTGCAGAGCAGGGAGTAAGTAAGGCAGGTACTGTCTCTCACTGTGTTTTCATACAGCGTCTAGCAGAGGAAATATAATTTCAGATAAAGCCTGTAGATGCTGCTGTAATAAAAAGAAGTCATCTCACACATACTATCCTTGTTCAATACAGCAATTTCCAACAAGCATCCCTCACCAGTCTGGGATAAGAGCTTATATGTCAGTAACAAATTAATTATATCAGTGCAGAAAAAAAAAGAAAAAACACATTAAAGATTTATATTGTTAATAGTTTTGCAGAAGATTAGAGCTTAAGAACAAATCTGACAATCAATCAGAAACTGTGATACATCTTGACACTTTTTTTAAACACAGAACTCTCAGAAATTGTTATGGCTAAATCCAGTACGTGAGCTCTTTCCTTGTAATTTATTCAAAAGCTGTAAAAAGGCCAAAAGGCATGAGAGACTTCCATTAAAGCTGAAAAAAAAAAAAAGAAAAAGGTTTTTTTCAAGACAAAAAAACCCAAAAAACATAGCTATTTTGCTCAGAGTTCAATGCATGTTTTTCCCGTGAATGGATTCTCCTCTTGGATTAGCCACTAGGTCAAGACAACAAATATCTGAAATGCTCTTGGCTTAACTCTTGCTATAAGTGAAAAGCAGGTAACAAATTACGTGGCAGGCTTTCAGCCTGGGAAACAGCTCCATTTTTCCAATTTTCAGTTTTCATGGACAATAAGAAGCTCAAAGTCTCAGTGATGTCTTATACATGAGGAAAATACTCCAGAGTTTTAGTTACAGAAGTTTTAGCTACCAGCTCCTGTATGAGGAAAACACCCCAGAGTATTAGTTACAGAAGTTTTAGCTACCAGCTCCTGTAACTGTCAGTGAGACTTGTGTTAAAAAAAATAAAAAATTTAAAAAATTAAAAAAAAAAATCAAAGTTTGACTGAGATAGGAGTAAGCTGGTAATATGTTCCTTCTGGAGGCATACCCAATTGATAGAGAAATAATGCTTTGGATTTATTCTCTCAGTAACTTTTTTTTGTTGTTAAGAAGTAGAATTCAACAACCAGCATGACACTTGTAACATATAACAAGCTACCACCAGTTTCTCATGATGTTTCGCTCAAGACGTATTTTAACAAGATTTGAGCTTCAGGCTCTTCTTTCAGTTTCTCTTCTGAAAATCCAGAATCCCCTTAGTTTAAAAGTGCCAGCTGAAGCACTGTCAGGTTCATCTCTACATAAGCCTGAACTAGTGCCTCACCTTTTTAGAAAGAAATGGAATAAAATTGAAGAAAAACATCTTGAAAGAAACACTTGATTGCAGCTCACTCATAAAGGAGAGCTATAAATGGAATCAATCAACCTCCAACTGCTTTAAAAAAACACCCAAAAAACACCACACCAAAAAAAAATTACTTAAGTCCAGACTTTTTCTTTACTTATTTGCAGTTTCTGGCTCAGCCAACAGTAGGACAAGTTCCTCTGAAAGCAGGGTACTCAGAATATATGAGGAGACAGCAGTAGCTATTAAAAAGGTACATTTTTAGAAGAGGGACTCAAGTACCATCAGATGAAGTACAATCAGGAACATATAATGCATGCAATCCTTACTTGAGGCATCTTCCCTGGAACTGTTTTGTACTGAACTATGAGCCTCTTTTTTTTTTTTTTTTTTTTACCGTGTGTAGAAATAAAGCCTGAGAAACCTCTCCCCTCCTTTTATCAATAACGGTAAATATATTTAGGCTATAATCTAAACATGGAACACTCAAGATAGCTTGATTTGGTTTACTTTACACAATTTTTGACATGAGGAATCACGGTTATCAAAACAACTCTTGCTACTTTCAGTTGAATCAGAATGGAAGCAAGATTCTCTCAGGGTTTCTATTTCATCCGAATTGTATAGTCAAGAGGACAAGAGACAGTTCAGACTGACAAACCCCAGTTCTAATAAACAGTGATGGTTGACTATTGTTCACAAAAGTATCCAGAAGTTCAAAAGTTTATCCTGCCATGCTCACTGAAATAATCCAGGCTTCTTTTATGTGAAATTTGATGGGAAAAAGTGTAAGAAAAGACTTTTCCCAAGTAGGCTTGTTTAAAAATGATCTTTAAGAACATTAATGGTGTAGGTAGAATGTCATATTTTTGTTTATCCAAATTAGTTAATCTGCTTCTAATTATCAATGAAATTTTGATTCCCATAAAAGCTTTATTGTCAGTGGACATACAGATATATAACACAAAAACCAGTCCTATAGTGACTTCACTAGCAAAACTTTCATCCATTCTAGGTGTATCTAGGGTAATTTACAGTCTGGACTTAAAATCTGGTTAGTATTTTTAGAATACAGCGCAGTTCTATGCCTGTGATTCAGAGCAGGCAAAACATAAGTATCTGAATAAGCATGAAAAATTGGGTGCTTTCTTCAGTCAGAGTAGAAATGCCATACAGCCTAGGGCATGGTCTAAACCCAAATGTTTTCTGGTTTCAGTAGTGCTTATTAAACAAGTTGTAAGGGTGAGCTCAGCACTATAAAAATCAGCTTCTGTACTGTCATCCTCTGTAGCAAACCCAGTGCAACCTCAGTAGACAGTATTCGCTGTTCAATCTTATTTCACTGGTGTATAAAACCAATCAGATTAAGACAAGAGTGTTAAGAACTGAAAATAAGAAAAAACTAAAGAATAAAGATAACTGGCTAGTGGGCAATATTAATTCAGATAAAACTACCTCAGAAAAATAAAAACAAGTAGAGGAGGAAATTCTGTCTTCATTTACACTAGAGCAAATACAGGGCCATTCTTCTGAACTGAAAATAACCATAAATATTTGTGCCTTTCTGTTGTAGGTACATTAAAATAATTCTAAAGATACCATCACTGTGGGCTTTTTTTAAATAAGAATCATGACTTTGGAAATAAAATTTATTTGCCATGAGCCATTTAGAAAACTGAATATTTGATTGTCTTTTCTCTTATCCTTTAAGTACTTCCAACATATCTACATAGATTGATCC